GGCAGAAAATGTTTGGAAACCACTGGGGGGGGGCAGAAAATGTTTGGAAACCACTGGGGGTGGGGGGGGGCGCAGAACAAAAAGTTTGGGAACCTCTGGGCTAAATAAACCTAAATGTTGATGATAATTCCTTACTGTTAACATTACAAACACCTCCCCATATATTTTCTGTTCAGAATTAAATTTACCATTAACTGTTTTTAAGTATTTGAAATACAAACTATCAGTAAATGTTGTATTAACAATTAATATCCTTCATAAAATTTATCCAGAAGCCTTTATGATTAATCAATAAAAAAATAAATGCAATGATATGTATTAATCCCTTAAAGGTTTGAGGAGAGGAAGAGATGTGAGAGGAGGGAAGTGAGGAGAGAGCTGGAGCTAAACAGATTACACATGGCTGCAGAAATGTCTCCAAAGTGTCCCAAGCTGAGAGTCTTGCTGTTTCTTATTTTTCACAGATCAAAGGTGTTTTCTCTGACAGCTGCATGTCCCTTCCTACAGTCATCATGAAGGAGGAAACAACAGGTGAGTTATTCCACAAGAAATGAATGTGCATGTAGAAGAGTCCATCCCTTCTCCTCAGAAGGACTCTATTTTCACTCTGTTTCAGGGTGCAAATGAATTCTCCCTAACACACTTCGCAAACATTATTATGTGAATCAGTGGTGGCTCTGTGTGAGTTCAGCCTCTGATTTCTATCCTGTTTGATGGGAACAGTGCCTGTCTGGGCTAAATTAATGAACAGCAGCCATAAGGTGTTTGAAAGTCTGGAGGGGGGAAAAAGTAGCAGGAGCAAACACAAGAAGGAGTTTGAGAGCATTTTCAGTAGCTGCTATTGCACAAGGCTCGTCTTTCTGAAAATTTCAAGACAACAGCATCACAACTGAGCTAATTCAATGATAGATGGGAGAGGACATAATACCCCCTGTCTCTCTCATGATACTTAAGCAGCTCCTGCAATTCCTGACACTATTGGTGTAAAAACATTGCAAGACTGCAGTTGTTTTTACCAAGAAATTTCACACATCCAAACAGCTGATGTGCTTTACCTGGCTGTGGTCACGTCTGCTAAGACCACCTCTGACTGTGCCTGAAATGTAATTGCACATTTAGAGCTTTAATGAAAATGTATATGCCAATGAATATTCATCTTAGAAAATAATATATGCTGTGTATCGTTACCACTGATAAATCATTCAAAATTTGGTAAATTTAAGAATATATCCACACTTTTAATTTTTACAATGTCTGATAAACCAGTGTCCATCTATTACTTAACATGCTGATCTTTGTGAGGTCGCTAAAGGGGTTGGTGGCTGTCTCCAGTGGTGACCAATCCATCGCTCGCAACACAGAGACATACACAACAAACAACCATACACACATATGCTTAAGGAGAATTCAGAGAAACCAATTGACATTACAGTCATGGAAGCTGGATTACCCTCAGAGAACCCATGCATGCACAGGGAGAACATGCAACTTTCATGCTGGGATTCAGATCCAGGATCTTCTTCCTGCAAGGCGAAAGTGCTACCAACTGCGTCCCTATGCAGCCATAAACCAGCGTCTCTTAGGAAATTTCAGTTCAGGGGAAAATGTACTGCAGATATAATGTACATATCAACACTCTTACTAATACAGTGATTGCATAAATTTTCATTTCTGCACATTACCTTAATAAACATGTACACTATAATTCAACATGACAGTGGCAGCATGATTTTGTGGGGATGACAGTTGGGGTTGAACGGAAAATGAATAGAGTTAAATACAGGAAGAAACTCTGTTTAAGGCTTCAAAACAACATCCAGTTAGACAATGAAACTCTACAAGATCTCTAAGGAAGTGGTTTAGATCGAAGCATATTCAGATTAGAATGGCTCTGTCAAAGATTTGACCTAAATCCAATCATGTGTCTAGAGTGAAATAATGTTTGAAGATAATTAGATAATTTGACTGAATTTTGATCTTGTCTACAAAGAAGAATAGGCAACAACTTCAGTCTCTCAGTGTGCAAGGTTTGTAAGAGTAATAAAGTGTAAAATGCTGAGGTATGAGGGGAGTGTATGCAGAGAAAAGTGAAACCCAACGGAGGTCCTCTGCAAGTTTATGAGGTTTTTCTCGGACCAAAGTTTACAATTTCACCAGGAAATATGTAGATCTGCAGAGCTTAGAAATAGAACATCTCTAAATCTACAGACTAAAAGAATAATGTATCTTTAGACAATAACGATATTACCTGCATTATAATGAGTTAGCCACATCAACTGTTCACATAAATCTCTTTCAGATAATATCTATGCATACGCTCTGTCCAAGACGCTAACGAAGGTTTCATCACCGGCAACAGTGGGTCTCTACTCTTCTTGTCAGGACCGACTGGATGTGATTCTTGATCAAATGGGAGGTAAGTGGTGTGAAAAGTACAAGCGGATCGTTTCTAAAACAACCACTTAAACCAGTCTGGATTTACTCAGTGTGACACTGATGACTACTTTCTGCATCAGATGATTTGCATGTTTGCAGTGTTTATGACACCGTCTCCTTATCTGCTGTGTGAGCTGTGAACGTGACAGAGACGTGTGAAACTATGATGCACTGACTGTGCAAACTGCACCTGTCCATGATAATATTATGGGGACAGAATATTACAACATATTATGTTCCAACATAATGCAGTCAAACCCAAAGGTCTTAATAACTTCTTAAAAACTGACTGGATGCATTTACAAAGGGACATTTTTTGCATTTTACTCAGTCATCTAAGTCATCCTTTTATCTTTTAAAAATTATTTCTTTTAAAAAGCATAGTAAACAAAATTCTGGAGAGTTAAACAAAAAGGAATAAACAAAGTACACAAAAACGATAGCAAGTCAGGTTGAACATATAAATTCACCCTGTTCATTCAAATTTTGGAAATATATTACAAAGACAAGTCATGTCAACTAGTCTGAGTGGTGACAGGCCTCCATGGAAAAGAAAAGTATTGCTGCTGTACCCTGAAGGTCCTGCTGCATGATTTGCATGATTCCAGTGTTTATGACACCGTCTCCTTATTCTTCCGACTTTGTTTCTACTTGAGACGAGTTACTAAACAAAGCATCCATAGAAAATATATTTTTTATTCTGCTCTTCCAAGACTGGGTCACAGATGCCTTTTTTGATTAATGCAGAAGATATCATGATGATATTGTTCATCCATATTTTCTAATACAATCATATGGATCTAAACTACTTACATCCTCAATGTAAATATTGTAATTGTTGTTTTTCAGTGTACACAAATCGGGAGTCTTTGAGGATTGAGCAGAAATCCGACAAATCAGAAAAGCCCCTTGCAGCCAAACTTTCAGTCAAACATTTGTTGCTTCTCATTGTGAGGCTGGTCTTCTACACACCAGTCTGGACTATGGAGAACCAGAATCGCCATAATGTCAGGTTCCTTTATGTGAATTTCAGTGCTTGGCATTTTGCTGGCAGTGACATGCTATGGGCTGGGATAGCCATACGATTGTTTCATGCCATGCAGGTGAATTTTGGGAAACTGCAACTAGCATTCTATCGTGTCACTCAATATGATGAAGAGGATGAAGTAAAGGAAAAGGTGAGTTTCTGTTGGCTTTTCTATACCTTAAGAACATATTCAGTGGTTATNTCCAGAAACATGTTTTCCCTTGACAACCAACCTCATATGAGAAGTTGTAGGAATAGACTAGCCCAGAGGTTCCCAAACTGTGGGGCGCGCCCCCTCGGAGGTGGGGGGGGATGAAAAGAAAATAAAACAAAACAAAAAAAACATAAGCGCTGTATTCGCTCGGTTTTTACCTTAGAATGGCCAACTCTCTGTTATTCCTATATCAATTTGATACAGTAGAGGCTTCCACACTTCCCATATTTGTATCCTCTGTCACTTTTATCAGCAGTTAAAACTGTTTAATGGGTTGTTAACATGTCGTAACCTGTTTTCCGAGCCGCTTTTAAACGCAACATGACCGCTACGACGCTGCGCTGGGTTTACACCTGTGCGGCAGTGAAGGAGACCTGCTACTGCTGCTGTGCAGAGCTACGCAGGTGTGTGTTAGAATCATAGTAGCAAACCATCAAAACGCAAAGAATTTTTCCGTTTTCCCCCCAAACTAACCGACTGAGTTGAGTAAAGCTGTTGGATGCAGGTGATGTTAGCTAAAAGATAACTAGCTAATATAAATACAGCACCTTAAGCTTAACAAGTGGCCTGTAGGCTACCGATGTTGGTGTCTGTTCAGCTAAGTACATTCATTTTGCCCCCCCCCCAAAAATGTTAGAGATAGGGAGTCTCTAAGAATCCACCCCCCACCCCTTTCGCTCACACACGTCGTTCAACCAGACAGCTATTTGTGGGGGTGGGGGGATAAAATGTTTGGAAACCCAGGAGAAAAAGTTTGGAAACCACTGGACTAGCCAATGGGAAAAAAAATCCCTTTTTAAGGTAATTGAGAAGATCCTAAAGGTGTTTAAAATTTAATGTTTAAAAAGACATTGAAGCATATGAGTAGGTTGCAATATTTTATTAAGCTCAGAGAGAGAAAAACAACACGTTTTACTAAAGAAAAAAATCACAATAGGAAATTAAACATGTCTGCATACCAATACCCCAAATTAATTCAATTGAGAATAGATCATCTCTTTTGGCTGTCACTGGAGAAGGTTGCTTTAAAACACGCTGAGAGGCAACTAATTTAAAACGGCCTCAACGAGCCTTACAGAAACACACAGCAGCAGGCTATGTCAGACCAACCTGTCTGGGAACATGAGGACGGGTGACCATGACAATAAATCGCAAATAAGCACCTAATTAAATTAACGGCACTGTTGTTAAAAAGGGAATAACTCACTTTCTAATTTGGCCGAGTCGGCCCAGTAGGATTGTTTAACGGAATTTGATCAAAGCTGTTCTACCAGGATGAATCCGAGACATAGATGAAGATGAAAGAAATGGTGCAGAAATCTCCATCATCAAGTTATAACTGCAAATATATAATGATGTTTTTTTTGTGAAATAAATTAGTGTTGTTTTTTTTCACACTAAGTCTCCAGTGCAAGTAATTGCAGAGTTCAGTAACATGTTGTCAGCCCTTCACAGAATTAGGAACATGGATGATATTGTAGTAAATGCCAGCTGATTAGCTTATAGGCTTAAAAGGAATATATTAACATTTTATTGGTCCCCGAACATCAGAAAACGAAGCCTATTAAAAGTTTTGGCAATAATGTTTTATGAATGCAAACAATGTCAATTAAAATAGCTGTAAATGTTAATAAATCTTTTGTTCTACAGCCATAAATGTTCAAAAGCTTTGACATAATTGTTGAATGGCTATGATGAGGCACATTTGAAGCAGGGGAATAAACATAAAGCCCATTTTTCAGAATTAAATACACCACGACTGGTTTATAAGCATTCGACATATGAGCTAATAGTAAATATTGTATTAACAATATCCTTCATGAATCCAGCATGAAACCTTTATGATTGATCAATAAAACAACAAATGCAATGATATGTATTAATCCCTTAAAGGTTTGAGGAGAGGAAGAGATGTGAGAGGAGGGAAGTGAGGAGAGAGCTGGAGCTAAACAGATTACACATGGCTGCAGAAATGTCTCCAAAGTGTCCCAAGCTGAGAGTCTTGCTTTTTCTTATTTTTCACAGATCAAAGGTGTTTTCTCTGACAGTTGCATGTCCCTTCCTACAGTCGTCATGAAGGAGGTAACAACAGGTGAGTTGTTCCACAAGAAATGAATGTGCATGTAGAAGAGTCCATCCCTTCTCCTCAGAAGGACTCTATTTTCACTCTGTTTCAGGGTGCAAATGAATTCTCCCTAACACACTTCGCAAACATTATTATGTGAATCAGTGGTGGCTCTGTGTGAGTTCAGCCTCTGATTTCTATCCTGTTTGATGGGAACAGTGCCTGTCTGGGCTAAATTAATGAACAGCAGCCATAAGGTGTTTGAAAGTCTGGAGGGGGGAAAAAGTAGCAGGAGCAAACACAAGAAGGAGTTTGAGAGCATTTTCAGTAGCTGCTATTGCACAAGGCTCGTCTTTCTGAAAATTTCAAGACAACAGCATCACAACTGAGCTAATTCAATGATAGATGGGAGAGGACATAATACCCCCTGTCTCTCTCATGATACTTAAGCAGCTCCTGCAATTCCTGACACTATTGGTGTAAAAACATTGCAAGACTGCAGTTGTTTTTACCAAGAAATTTCACACATCCAAACAGCTGATGTGCTTTACCTGGCTGTGGTCACGTCTGCTAAGACCACCTCTGACTGTGCCTGAAATGTAATTGCACATTTAGAGCTTTAATGAAAATGTATATGCCAATGAATATTCATCTTAGAAAATAATATATGCTGTGTATCGTTACCACTGATAAATCATTCAAAATTTGGTAAATTTAAGAATATATCCACACTTTTAATTTTTACAATGTCTGATAAACCAGTGTCCATCTATTACTTAACATGCTGATCTTTGTGAGGTCGCTAAAGGGGTTGGTGGCTGTCTCCAGTGGTGACCAATCCATCGCTCGCAACACAGAGACATACACAACAAACAACCATACACACATATGCTTAAGGAGAATTCAGAGAAACCAATTGACATTACAGTCATGGAAGCTGGATTACCCTCAGAGAACCCATGNATGCACAGGGAGAACATGCAACTTTCATGCTGGGATTCAGATCCAGGATCTTCTTCCTGCAAGGCGAAAGTGCTACCAACTGCGTCCCTATGCAGCCATAAACCAGCGTCTCTTAGGAAATTTCAGTTCAGGGGAAAATGTACTGCAGATATAATGTACATATCAACACTCTTACTAATACAGTGATTGCATAAATTTTCATTTCTGCACATTACCTTAATAAACATGTACACTATAATTCAACATGACAGTGGCAGCATGATTTTGTGGGGATGACAGTTGGGGTTGAACGGAAAATGAATAGAGTTAAATACAGGAAGAAACTCTGTTTAAGGCTTCAAAACAACATCCAGTTAGACAATGAAACTCTACAAGATCTCTAAGGAAGAGGTTTAGATCGAAGCATATTCAGATTAGAATGGCTCTGTCAAAGATTTGACCTAAATCCAATCATGTGTCTAGAGTGAAATAATGTTTGAAGATAATTAGATAATTTGACTGAATTTTGATCTTGTCTACAAAGAAGAATAGGCAACAACTTCAGTCTCTCAGTGTGCAAGGTTTGTAAGAGTAATAAAGTGTAAAATGCTGAGGTATGAGGGGAGTGTATGCAGAGAAAAGTGAAACCCAACGGAGGTCCTCTGCAAGTTTATGAGGTTTTTCTCGGACCAAAGTTTACAATTTCACCAGGAAATATGTAGATCTGCAGAGCTTAGAAATAGAACATCTCTAAATCTACAGACTAAAAGAATAATGTATCTTTAGACAATAACGATATTACCTGCATTATAATGAGTTAGCCACATCAACTGTTCACATAAATCTCTTTCAGATAATATCTATGCATACGCTCTGTCCAAGACGCTAACGAAGGTTTCATCACCGGCAACAGTGGGTCTCTACTCTTCTTGTCAGGACCGACTGGATGTGATTCTTGATCAAATGGGAGGTAAGTGGTGTGAAAAGTACAAGCGGATCGTTTCTAAAACAACCACTTAAACCAGTCTGGATTTACTCAGTGTGACACTGATGACTACTTTCTGCATCAGATGATTTGCATGTTTGCAGTGTTTATGACACCGTCTCCTTATCTGCTGTGTGAGCTGTGAACGTGACAGAGACGTGTGAAACTATGATGCACTGACTGTGCAAACTGCACCTGTCCATGATAATATTATGGGGACAGAATATTACAACATATTATGTTCCAACATAATGCAGTCAAACCCAAAGGTCTTAATAACTTCTTAAAAACTGACTGGATGCATTTACAAAGGGACATTTTTTGCATTTTACTCAGTCATCTAAGTCATCCTTTTATCTTTTAAAAATTATTTCTTTTAAAAAGCATAGTAAACAAAATTCTGGAGAGTTAAACAAAAAGGAATAAACAAAGTACACAAAAACGATAGCAAGTCAGGTTGAACATATAAATTCACCCTGTTCATTCAAATTTTGGAAATATATTACAAAGACAAGTCATGTCAACTAGTCTGAGTGGTGACAGGCCTCCATGGAAAAGAAAAGTATTGCTGCTGTACCCTGAAGGTCCTGCTGCATGATTTGCATGGTTCCAGTGTTTATGACACCGTCTCCTTATTCTTCCGACTTTGTTTCTACTTGAGACGAGTTACTAAACAAAGCATCCATAGAAAATATATTTTTTATTCTGCTCTTCCAAGACTGGGTCACAGATGCCTTTTTTGATTAATGCAGAAGATATCATGATGATATTGTTCATCCATATTTTCTAATACAATCATTTGGATCTAAACTACTTACATCCTCAATGTAAATATTGTAATTGTTGTTTTTCAGTGTACACAAATCGGGAGTCTTTGAGGATTGAGCAGAAATCCGACAAATCAGAAAAGCCCCTTGCAGCCAAACTTTCAGTCAAACATTTGTTGCTTCTCATTGTGAGGCTGGTCTTCTACACACCAGTCTGGACTATGGAGAACCAGAATCGCCATAACGTCAGGTTCCTTTATGTGAATTTCAGTGCTTGGCATTTTGCTGGCAGTGACATGCTATGGGCTGGGATAGCCATACGATTGTTTCATGCCATGCAGGTGAATTTTGGGAAACTGCCACTAGCACTCTATCGTGTCACTCAATATGATGAAGAGGATGAAGTAAAGGAAAAGGTGAGTTTCTGTTGGCTTTTCTATACCTTAAGAACATATTCAGTGGTTATAATTTTAACATTGTGTGTGTTTTTTTGGGTAACAAAAAGGATTGAAAAATGTTCTGCAAAACACTTTAAGTAACTCGTGAGCCAGCCTTCTAGTGTCTTTTCGGTCCTTTGCTTACTCAGTGTGCAATATATTAACATAATGTCCATTTTTGGGGGGGAGGAGGGGAAGTTTGATTAATTTTTATTTGACTCAGCTGAGTCTTCTAATTTAAAATCATCAAATCTAACCTGCTATATTGATAGTACTGGTCACAGTGAGAATCTAAATAGGATTCCAACCTCCATGAAGGAAAGCTGAAGCTAATTAAGAATCACTTTAAGGGGATGTGATCAAACTTAACATGAGATCTGCATGATGGGGATTGAATTTGCAGAAACAATGCATTTATATTAGTAACATGCACAGTACAAAGCAATGATTGGTAACCGTTTATTCTCCTTGGGTTACTTTTTTTTCACTTCAGGAGGTGAAGGACACCCTCGATAACTGGACATACAAGATGGTTTTAGGCTGCCCTCTGTGGTCTGTCCTGGTGTGTATCATTGTTATCCCAGTAGTTCTCCTAGTTGTCTTTTTTGTTTGGGGTTTTCCTGAAGTACAGTCCCCACAGAAGAACGAGACTGAAGTTACTAAGGTGGACCTACTTGAGGGCGCCGTCTTTATATCCTTAGGAATCCCAGCAGCGACAGGATTGAGGTTTGCCATTCAAATGGCCAATAGCCTCGTTTTCAGCCAAGCTCATAACATTAAGAAAGGAATGGACAACGAACGGCTCAGCAAACAACTGGGATTCATGAATGAAGTCAGGAAAGAAATATGGTTTCTGACTCAATTCATCAAGTTCATGGAGGTATTTGAAAAGAGGAGGATTCGTATCGTGTTGAAAATTACTAATCTGGACCGTTGCTCCCCCAAGAAAATTGTTGGAGTCCTGGAGGCCATCAATATTTTACTCTCAGATGAGGAAAGCCCAATTCTTTCCATTCTGGCTGTAAATCCAACTGTTCTGTTAGAAAAAGTGAAATTTGCAGAAAGCTCCATCTGTAAAGAGGACAGAGCTCATGGACTGCTGAACCGCATAGTCACTCTGACCTTCACAGTCCCAACAATGTCTCAAAATTTAAAGCACAAGTTGTTTCACAGTCTTCACAACACTCCAGGCATCTCTGAAGATTCCTCTTTAAGATGGAACAGACACAGGACAAAGACATCTTCAATAGATCTGTCTGTGGTGGCAATTGAGGAATCAACGGAGTCCATTGTAGATACTATAGAAATGAAAGAGGATGAATTGGAGAAAATGGTTCTGACAATCCTTAGCAAGGGTGAAAAAAAGCTGAACAAATACATGTTAGATGACGCCATCTCAATGAAGAGGACAATCAACTCTGTCTGGGTAACGGTCATAATCATGAAGTTACTGAAGAAAGAGTTTCCTGACCCAGAGGACACTGCAGCATGGGTGGTTCTAGCCAACCAGTGGCCCTGTCGATTCGGCTGGATCCTGCAGTGTGTGGAGGATGAAAAGCAGAGAGCAGCGATTGATCAACAGAAAGCGAGCCATGATGATTCAAAGACCCTTTGGCAGGTCTTCAGCCAGTCCAGGGAGGAGCTATATGTGATGCGGACAAACATCGAGGACCTCCTCGAGCAGGACGGAGATCCTGAAGTGTTCGAAGCGTTACTCAAGGATGACGAGTTTGAGTTCACCATAAAGAACCTGGAGATCTTCCAAGTAGGGATGGTGAATCTGGATCAGTCAATCAGGAGGGAACTGGCTTTTATCAGAGGGACATGCAGGCTGGAAGATTCTGGTTGGATGAGGAACATAGCTCCTCTTCCAGTCACAAGTCTTATCAAAATGACCACAGACGACATATGTGAAGAGGTGAGGAGTTTGGACAGTTAGTTTGTCTGACTTGTGCACTTATAGCATATCTTGNTCCTTTATGTGAATTTCAGTGCTTGGCATTTTGCTGGCAGTGACATGCTATGGGCTGGGATAGCCATACGATTGTTTCATGCCATGCAGGTGAATTTTGGGAAACTGCCACTAGCACTCTATCGTGTCACTCAATATGATGAAGAGGATGAAGTAAAGGAAAAGGTGAGTTTCTGTTGACTTTTCTATAACTTAAGAACATATTTAGTGGTTATTATTTTCACGTTGTGTGTGTTTTTGTGGATAATAAACAAATCATTGAAAAATATTCTGCAAAGGACTTTAAATGCCTTGTTGGACAGCCAGTTGATGTCTTTTCAGTCCTTCTCTGATTCAATGTGTAAGACATTAACATGCTGTCCACTGGCTTTTTCCAAAAATTAACAATAATTTTACTCAACTGAATCTACTCATTAAATATTGATCTCATTTTGAGATCAAACTCAACATGACATCTGCGTTATAGGGATTAAATTTGAAGGAACAATGCATTTATTTTACCAAACTGTCTTCCAGTTACCTAGTGGTTTCAAAACAAAAAGTGGGCAACAAACTGATAGAAAGTCAGAATGTATTTATGTAGACATATCCCTAAAACACAGCAATGATTGGTAACCATTTTTTTCTTCTTGGGTTACTTTTTTCACTTCAGGAGGTGAAGGACGGCCCCAATAATTGGATATCCAAGAAGGTTTGCTGCTGCCCCCTCTGGTTTTTCCTACTGTCCATCATTGTTGTCCCAATAGTTCTCATAGTGGTCTTTTTTGTTTGGGTTTTTCCTAATGCTGAAATAAAACCAGAGGAGCAGGGGACAGAAGCAAATAGTGAGGTGAATATCCTGGAGGGCTTTGCTATTGCATCCTTAGGAGTACCAGCAGTAACAGGAATCAGGTTTGCCTTTCAGATGATCAAGAACCTCATTTTCAGTCAAGAAAAGAACATTAAGCGAGAAATGGACAACGAACGGATCAGCAACCAATTGGGATTCATGAATGAAGTCAGGAAAGAAATGTGGTTTCTGACTCAATTCATCAA